GAAGAGGGCTTAAAACTGCTACACTTTCCTAAAAAGTGTTATTAGTGATCAGTTCTTGTTACAAACAGATCTTAAAAGCTGGGAATTTAACCAGAGTACCGGGTGACAAAAGACCCTCAACTTGCCTGGTGGGTCCACCATGACTACCAGACCCAGGAGTTGCCTACTTGAATGAATGTGTTACAGTGTTCAGTGTATGGCACACAGTAGTGACCAGGCTGTTGAAATTACACCACCGTTCAAATGTGTACTTAAGCTGGACTATAGGATTCAAAAATAACACAAACAAGAGGATCTCTGATGCTAGGAGAAACAATTTAACTCTAATGTAAAGCACTGACTTTTCTCTTATCCTTTCTACCCTATTAAGAATAACATTTATAAAAAGCCAATATTAAACACAACAGGCAAACCATTTTATACTATTTTATGCAATATATGTTAATATCGCAAAGAAATAATAAAATATTTTGGTATACAAACAATACTTTAACCTGAGCCTCTGGCTAATTTATCTTAGAAAGGGGGGAAAAATGCTACTATCCACTACTTGAAAAGTTTTTGAGTTTTCACTCTGTTCTTTTCCATTTTCAGGAACAAAAGTGGAAAATGGGATTATCTTCACAAATCATATCTTTACTCTCATAATCCAGAAAATTACTAACAAGGGAGGGATATGGTGTAGTTGGAAAACCTGGGTTTGCAGTCTATCTGCAGACTTTCCAGCCTGAGTGGCATCAGGTACACTTCTCTAAATTTTGAGATTGAGTCAATACAAACAATTCCTCCCATGGTGAACACATTGTGCTCATGGCCCAGCACCCATTCCCCTGCTGCTGGTTTTCTTTGAGGAGCCAATGGCTGCTCTAGCCTCGTCCATGTGTCTTGTGTGGGGCTGACATGATCCCCCCACCACGTTTCTGCTGTTCCCGAGGTGGGCATCTCATCCTTGCAAAGGAGTCTCCACCAAGACTTCTACTGGGCCTACCGGGAAAGAGCTGCTTTCTGCTGAGATTGCTTAACCCCATAGAGTCTCTGAGCCAATAAATTCCCTTTCCGGGTTTCAGTTTATTTTTCTATCACTTGCACCTAAGAGTCCCGAGAAAAAAATATTCCCAGAATTGTGACTCCATTAAGGATAATGAAGGTAATGAATGAAAATAGTCATTGTTATAATTAAATGTTAGAGCTGGAAGGAATCTCTAAGGTCACCAGGTTCTACACCAACGCCCCTCATGATACAAACTGGAATCACTTTGCTGAGGTCAGAGAGACATTTAGTGGCAAAAACAGAGCCCAGAATCCCTTCTTTCTTTTCCAAACATTAATATCCTAGATGCTTCGTTTTAAAACACTTAACCAGCCATGGGCTAAGCAGAGAGAGTGAAAGATGAAAACTGCCAAGGAGATTTACCAATATGAAATTTCTGGCTTTCCATTTATAGAAGCTCATCGTGGCTCAAGGTTCATATAATCTAAAGATAACGAGAGCTTAAAAGTGCTTTGGCTGTGGATTTGTTGGAAAAGGGAAGAAACATATCTCCCAAGATTCTAATTAGCACTAGAATAAGCAACCCAACAAAAAGAAAGATGTGCAAGGATATCTGGGTTAATTTCTAAAAATCTTGTGACGCCTTAAATAAAATGCGATTCACAGACACCAAGGTTAGCAGTTAGAAGAGAAAGCTGTTTAAAGGCACAACCTAATGGCTTCTTAGAAGGTTACAATAAAATGGATTTTTTACTAAGCTAGAGCCTTGAATCATTTATATAATTTATCGATTGGCTGTTACTTTCATTTCTGTTTGTATGGTGACCTGAAACAAAAACCAAAACTTTTTCTTTATAATAATTTTAGTTTTAATAACCCTTCGTAGTAAGACATAAATCGGGTATGACCACCTGAACCCTAATTAAGTTTTACTGCAAGACAGAAGGTATTAGGGTAATCAATTCCTTCTGTCAAGCCACAGATGTGCCAGCAATCATTTTAATACCTTTTTTTATTAGATGTATACCAGCCTCTTTTTCTTCTTTAAAAAAAACCTTCAAAAAATGGTTTTTAAAAACAAGGACACACAGCAAGTGCCACCTTGCTGCTTTAATTAAGGCTGTGATAAAAAGTTTTGTGTTTTATTACCTCCTAATTGTACAGTAATAAGTTTTCCTTTTTCAGAAAGCCATTGACTATTCATGTTTTTTATTTGAAAACATGTTGTGATTTTAAAAACAGCAGGGGTCATATTTGTCCTTGCTCATCATTGCATCCTCACGCCTTACCCTATACCTGGCATACAGTGTATCTGATAAAGTCATATGATGGAATACCATTCAGCAACAAAAAGGAACGAACTATTCACTGATGTACACAACAACCCCCAGAGTGACTCTCCAGAGAATTACAAGTGAAAATGGCCACTCCCGAAAGATCCCATATGATATGACTGCATTTACGTAAAAGTTTTGAAATGACAAAATTATTGAAACAGAAAGCAGATTAGTAATTGTAGGAGTTAACGAGGGAGTGGGGTAGGAGGAAAATTGGTGTAGCTATAAAAGAGCGACATGAGGGAGCCTTGTGGTGATGGAAATAGTCTGTGTCAGTGTCAGCATCCTGGGTGTGATGCTGGACTCTAGTTTTGGAAGATGTCACCATTACAGGAACCAGGTGAAGGGAACATGGGACCTTTATATTATTTCTTAACTGCATATGAATATACTATTATTCATATACAAAATAAGAGAGCACATACATGATGATCCCACTTTTATCAAATCTGCACATTAATAGATAATCATATAATATCTATATATTAATAGGGAAATGTCTGGAAATATAAACAAGAAAAGAGTAATAGTGGTCATCTCTGTTGGAGAGATGATGGGTGATTTTTCAATTTCTTCATACGTTCATGCATTACCAAAGTTTTTCCAATGAGCATGTTATACTATGAAAGTAAAAAAAAAAAAGATTAAATCCATTTTTATTATGAAAAAAGAGAAGTAATACATGCTCACTGTATACATTTTTTTCCACTAAACATTTTACATTAGTTCTTCAAAATATAATTTTAAAAGCTGTTCAACATTCTATGACACTGATTTATCATTTTTACCATTTCTCTACTATGGGGACCTAAGGAATCTTTCTAAATTCTTATTGTTAAAAACCAATGCAATAGATTCCTTCTACCTGAATCTTCACATATATGTCTGATTATGCCCTATACCTGGAACTCTAGTCATGGAGTTATTGGATCATAGAATTAGGGATACTGGAACATACTAAAAATGGCTTTTCTGAGAAATTATACATTTATGTCTCACCATTAGTGTATGTGTGTGAGACCATTTCACTCTGTCCCTAAGAAGCTGCCAAAGCTGTGTTCGCATTCCGAGCTCCACAGATCAAACAAGGAAAGCATCAGACTAATGTCATACAGCCACATCAAGGCATAGTAACATTGACGTCATACCAGTCTTGGACTTTGCACAATCTAACATGTCTTGCTTACTTGCTCCTCTTTATTTCCCTTTACCTTCAGGAAGTTCAAACTTCTTAGCCTGACATCCAAAACCGACCTCTTTTCACCTTGTTCACCTGGCTGCAGCCACTCCCACCTCCTTGCTGTTCCTCAAACACACACCTCTGCCCAAATGCCCTTGTCTGGATATCCACGGTGCTCACCACCTTACTGAGTTCAGGTCTCTGCTCGAAAGTTCCCTGTCAGAGGCCTTCCCACCTGACTCTTTGCAAATCACCAACCCCTTCTCCAGTCTTCCTATCTGTATTTACTTGCCCTGTTTTTCTCCAGCAATGTCACACTAAAAGCTTTTTATTATTTCCCCAACGTTTTCTGAAACTTTAAAACAAAAAATCCTATCCTCCAAGGCACTGACATCACAACTTACACAGGCTTTTGTCTTCTAATGATTACAGGAACCAAGATCAGCTCTAGCACAATTTATTTGCAAGGCCTCCCTCCATCCTACAACCTTTATATTGACGTCTTTTCTCCATCATGGCCTCCACCTATGCAAATATCCATAATCTAATGCTGTTCACTGAGGAGCCAGCCCTATTCACGCTGCCCTCTCTGTTCAATACCCTGTGGGTCAAGACTGCTGTTCTCTGCATCTTCCTCTCCACCTTTATAGCATCCAGTCTGGGTCCTCTACAGCAGCCAAATCAACAAAGATATAGTATAATCAGCTAACACATACTAAGGTATGTGATTCAAAAAGCAACTGAGAAAAGCAAATTATTGGAGTTTCTAACTGGGGAAAAAAAAATACATGCAAAATGCATGGCTTGTATTACTAAGACACTTGCTTTCCATTTATTTCTTCAAATTTTCTCATCTCTTTGATTTTGTCATAGTCTTTCCACCTGAAAAGTCTTATTCTGGTTTGACCTCAACCAAGAACCATCATCTCCCTTCTGTTTGTCATTCCATTCAGCGCTGACCTACTCCCTCTGAACAGCAAAGGATGCTTCCTTCTGACACTCCTCCTCTCTAAGCTAGTGTTTTTCTACTTCAGTGAGTCTCCATTTCGTATTGAATTTCAGCCTCTCCTTCAGAATGTATTTGAAAGCTCCCTTTTGCTTTTCACAGATCACTTCCACAGATTAGCTCCTACAGATATCAGGAACTAGATCCATGCAATCAATGCTATGTAGAATGCTTGCTTTCAAATGTCATTATGCAATTCAATTATTTTTAGAAGAAACTATTTTGAGATAAAAAACATATCCTTAAAAATAAGGCCACCTTTATGTTATTTCTTTTTCCTCTGTTGTTATATAGGTAATGCAATGTGTTTGCTTTTCTTTTGTTGTATACTTGGACTTTTTCATGGTTGCAATTAACTAGAAACATTTTAAATTTCATTTTTCCTCGAAATAGGAAATAAATCAAAACAAGGCAGTGAAAATGGAAAGAACCACAGGTAACATCCTGTGCTGTTTTGATCCTCAGGCCCCAGAAACGTCTACTCACCAGACTTCTTTGCCTTCAAAGCAATAACAGCTGCTAGCTCTCTCTGCACCTGATAAATATTAAGGGGAAAAAAAATCAAATTAGAATAAGGAAAATGTAGCTATCAAAAGTGGTACTTTATTTTTACATATGTGACCCAAATTAAAAGCTACTGTAATTAAAGCTAAGCTTGCTCCCATTTTGGGGTTTTTGTTTGTTTGTTTTTAATAACATGGAAAACCCTCTGCACAAGAGTTTTACACTAATAATCTGGAAGAATCATATTGACTGACTTTAAAAAGAAATCAGACAGTTGCCAAAATGTATGTATTATAAGACATTGGTATTTTTGCCATGGTGATGGTAAGAACCTCAAAAATATGATTATAAAACATTCAGAAACAATGTAAATAAATTATTAAAATGAGCACGATACCTTGGAAAAGATATTGAATAGTATTTCTCATTCAAACATTGTTTATACAGAGAATCTAGAGCAGCGGTTCTCAACCTGTGGGTCATGACCCCTTTGGGAGTCGAATGACCCTTTCACAGGGGTCGCCTAAGACCACCGGAAAACAAAAAGATATTTACATTACGATTCATAACAGTAGCAAAATTACAGTTATAGAGTAGCAACGAAAATAATTTTATGGTTGGAGGTCACCACAATATGAGGAACTGTATTAAGGGGTCGCGGCATTAGGAAGGTTGAGAACCGCTGAGCTAGAACAATTGAGATAGGTGACCATGGTTTCACTAAACCTCTGCTCAAACACAACGAATATTCACTTTAAGTCTGAAAGGCTTACAGCAACCCGTGTGGGAAGATGCCACATGAAAGCAAGTGCTATTAACTCATAGGGCAGGTGGAATGGGAACAGATAAGACAAACTTTAAAGCCCTAAGTGCCCGTAAACCTCCACGCACTGGTCCAGATTTTTGCTTGCTCACTCTCTCTCAACCCCACATGTTTTGAATGCTTAAATCCTTTCCTAAAAGCTTTCCCAAAGAGGAATATAAAACAGAGGAAAAAAAGATAACCTCAAGGACTTTCGAAGTTAACATTTAAGGTCCGGCCTAGTGGCTCAGTTAGTTAAGAGTTAGCTTAAGAGCATGAGTCTCTGAGCAACAGGGCCACCGGTTCAATTCCCACATGGGCCAGTGACGCTGAGCCCCGAGCTGAGCTGCCAACAGATGGCAGGATGGCTCAACTGGTGAGAGCACATGCTCCTAACAACAAGACTGCCTGTTCAATGGTGGGCTATGCCCACCCACAACTAAGACTGAACTCGGCACCTTGAGCTGAGCTGCCGCCCGGATGGTTCATTGGATACAGCGTGCGCTCTTAACAAGGCTGCTGGTTTGACTCCTGCATGGGATGGTGGTTACGACCACCCGCAACTAAGATTGTAACACAGCACCTTGAGCTTAGAGGCCACCAGCTGCCAACTGGCAACCAGATGGAGACTGGCACCCTCTACAACTAAGACTGAAGAACAACAACTTGGTTGGTCCCCCTCCCCAATTCTCCAACACTGTTCCCCTCCCCCAATTCCCCAATAAAAAATAAATAAATAAAATAATAATAATAATAATAATAAACATTTAAAAACAAAAAAGATAATGAAGATAATCTTTGGGAAATCTCTGTTTGATGGTCATAAAAGTTCCATAATGAGTAAGTTCATTCCTCTTCAGGACACAATCTTTTAAGCTTAGCAGTGTGTGTGTGTGTGTGTGTGTGTGTGTGTGTGTGTTCTGGTGTTTGGAAGTGGTGGTGGTGAGTTTGGAAGGGTCCTGCTAATGAGATTTTAAAGGGAGAATATGGAAGTTCAAGGTTAAAGAAGATTTGCTATTGAAATTAATCTAATTTATATTCATTTACTTGAAGGTTAAAGTAGCACTATATGCTAGGCATTGGGATCCCACTTAGGACCACTTTCAAAATAGCCAGGGCATCATCAGCCGGAAAGAGACAGCTTTCCCAGCCCTGCGTTACTGCCGTGCTGTCCCGGCTGGCTAGTCTGACTGCCATTCAAAAGGGTCTACTCTTGTTTTAGCTGATTCTTTGAAACCTTCAGGCTCTCTCTCCAGAAAATTACATGGTGATAAGACAGTCCCTGTCCAACCTTGGAAGTCTGAGCTCTGAGAATGCTCATGGTACGAAGATGAGCAGTTAAAGAACGTACGGGACAGAAGAGGGCTAGGGGAGATACACGTGATGAAGGACCATAGGAAAACCTTTACAAATACTGGCCTGGTTAGTCCAATTAAAACAACGAAATAAAACATTAATTATTGCCTAGTTCATGTATTTGAAATTGTTTATTATAGTACTACAGTAAGGTTTATTATATCATTACCATCTCTTTTCAGGATTGCCCTCCTTCACAGTGTCACAGATGTTCGGAGCTAGGGCCAAGATACAGGCTATAAATAGTCACTGAGACCTAGTCAAAAGCTACCCAATTTTATGACCTCCCTGGGAAGATCCCACCATGGCTCAGAGACAGAAAGCAAGCAGAGATGGAGAATGATGCACGAGGTGGGTCACTTAATTTGCTGACAGAGGATCAAAAACAATCTTCTCTCCAGCTTTCTGTTTTCCATGCCTGAAGTTCTCTTCATGAGATCTTCAGCTTTTCTTTCTCTAATTAGAAATAAGGCTCAAAATATAAACAGCTCAGAAAAGAAAAGTACTATATTCCTACCATTGAATAACTGTACATCTTTCAAAGATTTAGTGAGGAAAGAAAGGGAGGAATGAGATGAGCGAGCAACCAATACAGCGTCTGGGGGCAGATGGAATGGAGATGACAGACGGCAATGAGAAAGAACTGCACTGTTCAGTTGAGAGGAAACCTAAGCTTTTTTATTTAACATAAAGTAAACGAGATTACTTTACTGTACTACACTAAATCCCCTAAACGCCTGCAGTCAGGAAGGATGCAAGAGTGTTTTGTGCATGGTGAGGTGTAGAATAGCTTCTCCTGCCCCAGGATGGAAAAGGTTTTTGACAAAACCCCGAAGGTTGGTTATTCATCCTACAAAACACAAACCACAAAGCACTGATCAAGCAAAAACACAAATTAGCTAAGATCCCATTATATGCTCCTCTAGCATTTTCACAGCACTATTTTTTTTTTTAGCTGAGTCATCCTGCCACCTGTTGGCAGCTCAGCAGCAGCTCAGCTTGGGCTGGGAATCGAACTGCTGTTGCTCAGAACTCGCACACTTGAGCGAGCTCTTAACCAACTGAGCCACTCGGCCAGCCTTTTTTTTTTTTTTTTTTAACACACTGGCAATCATTTAATCATTTTTCACTGTCTGACTAATGCCTGTCTTGTGGATGGAAGCTCCGCTGAGGCAGGGACCTGCTTGTCTTTTTATGGTATTATCCAGGGCAATCAACACTCATTCATTGACCCACAGGAGGTAGATGCATAGGCAACCTTAAGAGAACATAGAAAGGATTTAGGAGAGAGAAAAAGCTGCCTGAGGGAGGACAATGAAAAATCAAAAGAAAAGGCATTCACCACTAATAAACTACTCCCAGCAGGAATCTTCGGAACATATTAAGACTCAAAGCCTCCTTTGCAAATAATTGTTAAGTTTCTATTGAAAAATAAACCTTTGAACAACTGCAAAGAGACTAGAATTTTTTTTAAGTACTAATAAGAGACCTGTTTGCATCAAAAAACAAATACCATACTCCAGCACCAGTCCAGCCTTCAGGATGGGTATAAAATTAGTAGACATTTACAATCCATTTTTCCGTTTTAGAATATAAAAGTTCTGAAAAAAACAAAAGTTTCTGTTTGACTCACATCCGGGCCCACATTCTGACAACTTCCTGAGAGACCCTGAGCAAAAACCACCCAGCTATAAGATGCTCCTGAATTCCTGACATTAAGCAACTGTTTGAGATAATAAATGTGTGTTGTTTTAAACCATTAAATGAGGGGGTAGATTGTTATGCTGAAGAGTCTTTATTGGACTATGATCATTTTTGTATTTTAACCAGTGTTGTTGGTGAACCTTAGTTTCTCTCACCATGGCCGAAATGGAAGCCTCTTCTCAGATCAGGCTGGAGAAATGTACACATGTAGCACCAACTGACCAAGAACATTGATTAGGGCTGGCCAAGTGGCTCAGTTGGTTAAGAGCTTGCTCAAGAGTGCAAGCTCTGAGCAACAGGATCACCAGTTCCATTCCCACATGTGCCAGTGAGCTGCGCCCAAGCTGAGCTGCCACTGAGCTGCCAACAGGTGGCAGGATGGGTTAGCTGGTGAGGATGGCTTTGCCTGTTCGAGATGGTGGGCTAAACCCACCCGCAACTAAAGACTGAACTCAGCACCTTGAGCTGAGCGGCACGACTGGACTTGGAGCTGAGCTTGCTGCACCCTCCACAACTAAGATTGAAGGACAACAACTTGTCTGTTCCCCTTCCCCAATTCCCCAACACTGTTCCCCTCCCCCAATTCCCCAATTAAAAAAAAAAAAACTTTAAAAAAAAAGAATATTGACTAGGTAGTTCATCTTGATCAAGAGCCAAGAGCCACACACTGATATTGGCCATTGTTTTTATTTAATATGGGTGCTAAGCCACTACCTGTAGTTAGAAGAAATGCGTTCTTCTTACTCTGACAGGAAATATATCATTACATTGGCCTTTCCTATAAACAATCCTTCCCTACTTTGATCTGAACCCCTAGGGCTAGACAGATTTCAAAATTCAAAATTTTATACATTTCAGAAAGGAACCCTGCTTCCGTCACAACCACAGTGAAGTCTGGGGCAGCAACTTGTAATCAGAAATCAGATATTAATATTTCTAAAATGAAATGTATGATTATTTGTACCAAATGGAATAAAGGAAGGCAAAAAGAAGCCTCAGGATTTTCCACTCAATATGTTCAGTGTAGGTTAGATTTTTGTCACCAATTAAGTCATGAAAAACTTGTTTTTCTCAGAGCTTTTATATGTTAGAGCTGAATAATGGATTGTAAATGTCTACTAATTTTACACTAAAAGTTTCTCTCCCTCTTTTTCTCATGTTTCTGCTTG